GCACTAACAAAAATTTGCAGGCCACTAAACGGCACTAACGATACTGCAAATTTCGAGTCTCTAGCGGCACTTTCGAAAAAGCATTTTCTGGGCCTCCCTGTCATATCCCTTTTATAGGACGAGCACTAACGAAAATTACCACTGCAATCAAAAGCACTAATGATAATGTAAATTTCAAGTCTTTAGTGGCATTTGGAGAGCTGGCACGTCCCGAACCTGCCCAAACTTTAATCAGTACAGAAAACCGGCACTAACGGAAATAAATACAGCACCAACCGATACTAACGTGGCACAAACCCCACACCCAGTGTCAGCCCCATTTTACAAGTTGAGGGTGGGCTGGGAGAATAAACCCATTATTTCCTAAGATGAAGCAAAATATGATAGAGATGCAACAGAGGGCAAGGGCAATTAGAAATTAAGATTTAAATTAATATAAATCTTTTTGTTTAACAACAAAAAACATACATAAACACAAGCATACAACACAAAAACAAACATACGCACCAACAAACACATACATACATACATACATACATACATACATACATACATACATACATACATACATACATACATACATACATACATACATACATACATACATACATACATACATACATACATACATACATACATACATACATACATACATACATACATACATACATACATACATACATACATACATACATACATACATACATACATACATACATACATACATACATACATACATACATACATACATACATACATACATACATACATACATACATACATACATACATACATACATACATACATACATACATACATACATACATACATACATACATACATACATACATACATACATACATACAGACATACATACATACATACATACATACATACATACATACATACATACATACATACATACAGATAGACAGACATACATACACACACATATACACACACACACATACATACACACACACACATACATACATACATACAATCATATCTAACGGGTAGAACTCAGCAGGTTTTGTTTAGAAAAGTCTTATCATCTGTCAAGAGGGTAAAAACGGGTGTTCCTCAGGGATCAGTGCTAGGACCAGTTTTGTTTCTACTCTTTACATCGGATATAATTAAAATAATAATGTCGCATGGACTTGTTGGTCATGCGTATGCAGATGACATACAGATAGTTGCTACAGAGACATTTCAGCCCGTGATTGATAAACTTGTTGGTTGTTTGATGGAGATTGAACGTTGGATGTTGAGCAATTTCTTAAGGTTGAACCGGGGTAAAGCTCAAATGCTTCCTGTCGGTACATGGCAGCAGTTGTCAAGACTTAATATGAACTCGGTTGAAGTTGGTGACGTTGAAGTATCATTTGCTTCTACAGCCTTGAATTTGGGGGTATGGTTGGATAGCAAGCTCTCAATGAAAGATCAAATAAAGTCGCTATCAATTGCAAGTATGATGCATTTCAGAAAATTGTACAAGATTTGACACTATTTGAACAGATTTGCCATGGAAACACTGGTACATGCTTTTATTACATCCAGATTAGATTATTGTACTTTCAAATACCTGACAAGTCAATAGCTGTACTTCAGTCTATTCAAAATCGAGCAGCAAAACTTGTCACAAAAAATCTGAAATTCGATCACGTGACTCCAATCTACACTGGCTAAAAATTGAAAAAAAAAAAATTTTCAAAATTGCTGTCTTAACGTTTCGGTCATTACATGGTTTAGCACCACAGTATTTGGCGGACATGTTCATCAGAAAAAGTTCGCAGTTGAGATCAAATGACATGAACGTCCTGGTTGTGCCGACAACGAATTTACAGACCGGATCACGCAATATTGCTGTTGCTGGACCGGTGGTTTGGAACAGTCTACCGGCGTTTCTAAGAAGACCAGATCTATCATTGTTTTTGTTTAAAAAGGAGCTGAAGACTCATTTATTTTCGCAGAATTAACAATGTCTTTGTCTTCGTTTGATTAATGTTTGGTTTGTTCATTTATTTTAGGGAGCGCTTTTGAGATCTTTTTTTTTGTAATTAGCGCTGTACAAATTGATTTGTAATAATAATAATAATACATACATACATACATACATACACACATACGCATACAAACACACACACATGCATACAGACGTGATTGGTGTGCTAGATGGGGCGACTACTGCGTGCCGGAGTCGAAGATGAGGTTTGCGACATGTTGTGCAGGGACCAGGTGCGTCTGTGGGATCATTTGGAAAACTGGGAGGTGCCAATGTAGGACTGAATCCCTCTTCGGATGATGAGAAAAAATGATGAAAAAAGAGGAAGAAGAAGACAATGATAACGGTGTTGATAATGATGGTGATGATGTTGATGATAATGATGGCAGGGGTGATGATGATGATGTTGATGATTGTGATGGTAGTGATATTAGCGATGTGAAAATGTGATGATGATTGGGATGAAGATGATCATGATGGTAAGGATATTAAAGTGGTGATTAGAACATTGCAATACTTTTGTTTCAGCTATGTCCTTTATTGATTTGGAAGATTTTATTTTTTTCAACAAAGATGTGTTCATAATTTCATAAAAAAATTTTTTTTTGTCGGTCCGTTGATTTATCGTTTATAAGGCCGTTAAACTGATTGTTTCTAAAACTCCTTTGATTTTTTGGTTGGTTGGTTAGTTTGTTGGCCGATTAGTTGATTGAATGATATGATGGTTGGTTGGTTTGTTGATTGATTGATGATCAATGATCGAACTGTTATTTCAGTTCATTATCCACCTAGTTGACCATTTAAATTGTCGAGATTGGATGTTTAGAGTGAAATAATTGTACATTCAGTTGGATGGCTGCTGTGATTGGTGATTAATTGGTTAATTGGTTAATTAATTAGTTGATTGATTGGTCAGTTGATTGATAGAGGAGTTGAGTGAGAGATGGATTAAAAACTTAGAAGACAAGTTGATCAGGGAACTTTATTTTTAAAATAAATTAAATGGTTAACTGATTGTTTGATTTATCACTGTATAACAGCAGTATTGTCAATTAATAAATTAGTAATTTAATATAACGTAGCGAACAATGTATCTTGTATTTTATTAGAAGAACTTCATCGATAGAATAGAAACAAAAGAATACAAAAAAATGTTGTTGCATCAATTTCTACAAATTTTCGTAAAATTATTCTTCATTTAAAAATTCACAACTGCAACAAATGAAATGAAAGTTTGATACCAAAAATGAACTAAAGTTATGAAATTCAAATGCAATATGTTTTGTAATAAAATCGTAGCTTCTCTTCTAGCGTCATTCGGGACTGTATCCTCCTCTGCTAACTTTTCTAACAATTTCGTCACTAACTCTTAGGGTGGATCTTCGATCGACGATTGTGGCAACCGTTTGCACTTCACCATGTATCACATTTACATTTAACAGTTCTATTTAACAGTTTTCAACAACTCCCATCGTGATGCTGAAAGTTTAAAAAAGAAGATTTTCAACTGTTTCAAAACGTGTCACAATAATTGGATCTTGATTAGATGCAGTAACACTTACTAAGTTATAATTTACAAACAATGCTTGGCTATATTATAATAATTCTTTCTTTAACACCAGATGTATGACATGATATATGGGTAATTATACGAACAATCAATGTTATGAAAAATGTAGTGATCCATTCAACACGCGATTTATCCCAATAACATGTCAAACAAAATGATAGATAAAATTGATATATTGATTATTATTATTACATACGAACCGTCCAATATTTTCCTTTGCCTAAGAGAACGCATCTCTCTCTTATGTTATAAGGCAAAAAAAAATTAAAAAAAGCCGTTTTGGCTCCCCCTAAAAGCATCACCCGATTCATGATTAGGTACCTCACACTACCTCGCGGCGCCACATAATAGAATCATTAAGACACTTACTAATACTTTCCAAATTTATTTTAACGGAACCTTCAAAAGTCCGCTGCAGCTGGCCCACTGATATGCATTTAAGCAATAAGACTTCAAAAGTTTATATTGGTTAATAATTTCATAAATCTTGTTTACAAATTATTGTAATTTGCATTTTAAATGTGTAAAAATCAGAATTTAAAAATTACTTAGCTTGTCCGAATTGACGCGCAAAATTAACTAGCGACCAAAGAATAATTGTGACTTCTGGCGTATATTTATTTCTTCTAACAATTTTATCTTAAATTTTTATTAACTTTTTTTTCTTAGCGTTAGTGTTAATGTTAGTTTCTGTAATTCTTTTTGAATTAATTTTTTCTACAATATTTACATTTTCTATAAACTGCAACACTGAAACAAATATTTCCAAACTTTTCATTTTATTAGTAAAGAAGTAGTATACAAGTTAATAATTTTGCACATAGCAACAACAATGTAACAATAAAAATAATAATAGTTATTATTATATTAATATACCATTAATATATAATTATTATTATATTTATAATTCATGGAATAAGAAGTCAAATAAAATTTTATAACACAATAATTAAAAAGATCATTACATTTAAACGGATGTATTTAGTTATCACAGTTGCATCTATCACATTCGTTCAGCGGATGTTGTTGCTTGCTAGTTTAAATACTTCACAAACTTTTCTTCTTACTAATGTTAGTTCTCACGGAATAAAGTATTTTCAAACAAGGCAACAATCGCAAAGCATCAACAATAAATCCAGCAGAATAAAATTAACATCAAGAAACGAACTTCGATCAATTTTTTAACAAAGGATCAAACAACAAAAAGATTAAACATCACATCTAGCAACAAAATATCATGATACAAATACAATGACAACAAATTATCTGGATACAAATACAAGTAAAAACTAAAGAGAAATTAATAGCATAAACAAGAAATTATTGAAAAATTTGCATGCAAAACAAAACAAATAAGAAAAAAACTACGAATTGAAAACCCAACCAAAACACAACGATAACAATGATAAATTTTTATTAGCAGTCTCAGTAGCACATCCTTTTCTGCTGGCGACCACTGACGCTTCTGCCGACTATTTCCATAGACTGGCTGTTGTAGTTGTTGCTGTCATCGTCGTCGTTGTTGTCATAATTGGAGTTGCAGAACTTGTTGTTCAGAGTGTTGTTGTATCTGAGATTGTTGTCGAACGAACTGTAATTGTTGTTTATGTTGTTGTTCCTATCATTTCTGAAATAATCGCAACTTTCTTGATACTTGTTATAACTAAATTTGTTGTTGTTGTTGGGAGTGTTGTTGAAGCGACGATTTTTGTCGTTGTAGCCGTAGTCAACGTGATCGTAATTGTCGACCACGTTCTCATCGTGATTAACATTTCTATCACCATTACCATTGTTAAACCCGTTGTTATTGTAGAAGTTGCTGTTGTTACTGTTGTTGTATTTGTAATTTTTCCACCTGGTTGAAATTTTGGCCGAGGCACTCCTCTTGAAATCTCGCGACAGTCTCAACTCTCGCCTCAAGAGGGCTTGTTCCCTGGTTATTCTTTCTGTCGCCAGAGCGATTGCATGAATACGCTCGTTTATGCCACCATCATCTTTGTTGATGTTGCTGAGACTGTTGATGTTATTTGTGCTGCTGCTGTATATGTTATCCTTTGTGTTGTTGGCAAAAACAATCTTGTTGTTGTTCTCCCTACTGAAGTTTGTGCTCCGGAGGTATATTTTGTTGTTACTGTCAATGTTATTGTTGTTGTAGGAATCGCTGTTGTTGTTGTTTGTGTTTTGTTGACTGCCTAACGTGTCATGACCATTCGTTGTAAGATTATCTTGGGTGGAAGATGCATTGAATTTGTTTATTGTCAATTGACTGTTTGTTAAGACAACTTGATCGCCATCGTGATAATGTTGTTGTAGTTGTCGTTGTTGTTGTTGTTTCTGGTAATGTTGTTCTGTTTGTTGTTTAATTTGTTGTTGAGGAACTGATCTGACAAGTTTAGTTGAACTATTTGGCGCTTGTTTTGATGACGTCATTACGAGAGAGTTGGTGGAGAGTGTGTGTTGCAGGTTGTTGTGGCTGTTGTTGTTGACATTTCCGTTCATGTTATTATTTTTGTTGCTGTTTTGAGAGTAGAAATTATTATTTTTGTCATAAATATTGTTGCTCATGTTGGCTATGTTGTTGTATTTTTTATACAGATCCAAATCCGTTTTAAAGTTTTTCTTATATTCAGTGCTGTAGAATATGTCTCTGAAACCGTTGTTATTGTTGTGGATGTTGTTGTTGGAGGTGTTGGTGATGAAATTTGGAATGACGTTATCATCACTGAGGAATGTTTGTTGGTTGTACTCAATTTTGTTGTTAAGGTTGGAAATATTGTTGATGGTGTGGTTAATGTTATTCCTCCTACTGATGCTCAGGTTGATGATTTTGATTGGCTTGTTGTAAGCGTTCGGATGACTGGGGTGTTGTATTGTTTCAAAGACCTCGTCGTAAGAATTCGGCTGTTGGTTGTTTTGCGGTATGTTTTTGCATTGTTGTTGTTGTAGAAAGTATTGTTTTTCAGAAATATTTTTATAGACGTTTCTTTTGTTGTTATGATTGTTGTTGTATCTTTGGTTTCGCATGTTTTCGTTTTTATTGCTGTTCGTAATGTTATTAACGAACGATTTGTAACCTGAGTCATCGTTATTATCAGATGAGATGATGATGTTTGTTTCAGATGACTTGCTGCTCCTATTAGCGAATGCCGCGTTGGAAGTAGCGACAGCAGCTTTTCTGTTTTTCAAGTTAGTAAAAGTGTCTTCATCGCTGATATAAATATCATCATTTGTTACGTCAGAAATATTCGCGTTGTTGAATGTATTGTTGCTAGTGGCTGAATCGTTCTCAGTTGCATTGTACCACGTCAGGCATTCAGCAACACTGCTCGGCCTTGAACTTCCCCAGCCTGGACCCTGGGGCATGGTGACCCTACCCGACCATCTGCTGTGGGGTAACATGCTCATCTTGCTGACTGGCTGGCCCTTCCTAGGCAACTGTCCGAATTTGTTGACTCTTCACTCTTTCTATAGTTTATCTAAAATATGAATTTTATTTGGAACATTCGTAATTTTTGATTACATCAACCAAAACAGTTGTAAAAGTGCTCATTATGGAAAGACGCTATAAATCATTATTGCTTCGTTGAAAAGCCACTGCGCAGAATTATAACTCAGTTGAGATTTAAGAAAATTATTAACTAATTTATGGTCTAAGAAGTTAAAAGTGTAACGACAATAACAAAATTAAAAATGAATTTTTTTTACAAATACTCATGAAGCACTCCAGCGATGAGATTATAATGATATTTTGAGAAGGCAGCAGGCGAGCGCCGTCTGTTGTATCGTGCGTTGTTGTTGTTGTTCGGTCGTCAATGACTACCACATTTTACCGTTTCCCTTGTGTTTCATTTCTTGGTAATGTTGTGTTTCCATGTTGCTCCTGTCTGTTCTTCTGCCTCTTCGTTGTTAAACGTTTGCATTTTCCTACGTTATTGATTGGTGGCTCAATAAAAATATCAGGATTGATTTTTATTCGCGTTTTTACTGGCAGAGCTGTGGTATTACAAGGTATGGAATGTTAATGTGTGTGTGTGTGTGTGTGTGTGTGTGTGTGTGTGTGTGTGTGTGTGTGGTGTGTGTATACGCACTTGGATTCATGCATGTAATTTTTGATTGAGCGAATGCGTTAGCAAATAGATACCCGTTGGTGTTGTCTCGTTGAAGTTTGTCTTGGCTAACAATTTTTTTTACATTTGCATCAAGTAAAATGTTTTTGGATTTTAGTCAAGTAAAAAACTTAAAAAATTATTTTAACATTAAATTCAACTTTTTTGAAATATTGTTTATTTTTGTGAAAGGTGAAGGTCTTCTTATCTATTATCCGATGTTTAAAGACAAGACAGAAAGAGTAACATAATTTTTATTTAAACAACAAATAAATTTTTTCCCAGTAACTTACATTTAATCTTTTCAGCATAGTACAGTGTCACGCATCATCACCACAACACATTAATACCTATATTGATGTTTACGTGTAGGCATTGCTTCATACTCACAACCTGCACGACTTGTCTTAGGGTTGGGAAGACTAGAAATCATGTAGCTAGGTAGCTAGGAGGACAGTCCTGCTTTCGTCGCAGCTGCCTGTGAGGACCAGCAAAACTCGTTGACTAACATTACAAAACTAACATTAGCAACAACGTCATCGATGACGTCATCAAGTTTTAAACTCGCACACTTTTCGGACGATTGATAAATGTTTCCTGGAAATTTAATTCCAACTGCTCTATGTATAATTGTTTATTTATGTATAACCACGCGGCTGTTTGGTTTAAATTGAATTAAAAATTAATTCATCTTAACTGCCTAGCGAGCAAATTAAAAATAATTTTATTTCGGCGATTTTGTCAATTTTAAGATGGAAATGTTTGAAAAATTAAAAAGAAATGTAGCAGAGGTCAAACGTATAACAATTTTTGAAATTAAGAAAAAAATTATTTAATTTTAATAAATTTCAAACAAAAGAAGATGTAACAATTTGAACACCCAAAGTTCCTTCCTGTGTGAAACACCTGGAGGAATTTTAAGTGCATTCATTCAACCTGCTCTTGTGCATAAAACATTACATTTTATGTTTCTAGTAGATGAAAATTTTGATTTTTTTTCATTTTGAAGAATTTCAGGGAACACGTCGTCTACGTGATGCCTCCATGTTTTATTTAAATGATTCGACTGCAATATTTCAAGTTTTATAAATAACGATTTTTGCTTTTACAATAATTTAACATTATTTTTAACAGTTCCTTGAAAAATCTTTTAGAAATTAAAAACATTTTGAAAATTTATTTTAGAATGAAATCCAAGAAATAATTTTTAGCAGGTAACATATAAACAAGTCATTTAAATTGAACGTTGTATCAAAGTTCTTATCAAATATTTTTTTGGGTGTATCTGCAACGAGTTAATGAAATTTATTAGAAACGTGTCAATCAACCAAGAAAACTATATTTCCGTGGAAGAAATAAAAAAAAACTAGAGAGCAAAAGTGAACAACTTTCAGGCGTGCTTTCAACGTCAGATGCACACACGTTTGCAATCATTACGCGCCAGGGACCATCGTATTTTTGGGGTAAAAATATTAAAATCTCGGCCCACTTTCAACCCACCTTGCTCTCAAATTTTTAAAAATTGTGCCAACTCGTACAACTTAATCGACAACAGGGAAAATAAATTCAAAAATTTAATTATTTTGAAAATTTGTGAGGTATTCGGCTTTTATATTTTCATATGTCTCCTGTATAATTGAAATTACTCATGCTTTTCACGCAGATATTTATTGCATGCGCTAAATCTAACGTCTATTTATTGACGATGTGAATGCTGTTGTTGGTCGATTTGCAATTATTCATCATTCAATTTACGCTCGCTACCTCCTGTCATGCATTCATTCATTCGTTTGTTCGTTCGTTTGTTTGTTTTGTTGTTTGTTTGTTCTTTCTTTCGTTCGTTCGTATTTTTGCTTGTTCAATAAGTTATCTGTCAGTTTATCACCTTGTTTGTTTGTTCCTCATGGATTCACGCGATCTCATCTCCATTAATGAATTTTCTCAAAAATGAGATTGCTGGTGTCAGATATTGCTCATTTCATAATTTCAAAAATTCTTAAGTTACTGATGACGATGACGATGTTGATGATGACGATGATGATGATGACGATGATGGTGATAATGATGACGGTGACAAATTTAACACTACATAATAAAGTTCCTTGAAATTTTCAGCAAGAATTGAAACAGCAGCAAGTCTATTAGAATAATATTCAACGAGCATGGATTTATTTTCCCAATTTTGACGATGTTTGTTTACCTCGCCAAGTTCTTTATCGCAGCCGAAGCAAAAATCTCAAAAAAGTATGAAGTTTTATTGCAGACAAGTTTGTATGAAGTTGCAAACTTGGGAAATACTTTTAATTTGTTTTTATTTCATCAGTGAGACTTTTTACTGGATTGCTGTGGTCTGTTTTTAGCAATATTTTTGTTACTGGGCATGAATTTGGTGGAAAGATTTTCAGATTGTGGTCCATTTTTAATTTCAAATATCTCCGCTATTTACATGACCAATTAATCGATCATTATTTTTTGTAGGAACATTTTTTCCATGTTCAACAAACCCTCGCTCATCAATAAATTGTGTCGACCAAAATTTATGGAGATAAGAAAATTACACGTTTCTCGCTGACTATGTGGCCCCACACATGCCTACATTATGCAAGTTTTTTATTACTCCACTTTCTACCATTCCTACTTTAGTTCAATAGACCAGATTTTTATTATTAATTGAAAATATTAATTTGTTGAATCAATTATTTTAACTTATTTTAAAAGCTCCATACAAGAAAGGTTATAACACAGCAACCAGACCTCACAACTTCCACATAATCACAAACTGCAGCACTAAGTCTTAATCTCTTTTTTGGATCCGTATTCATAGTCTCAGGTGTTGAATATTTTTCCGACATACGGTGTAGAGAATGTTTTTCCAACATACTATGGAGTAAATGTTAATAAAAATGTTTCAATTTTTTCAAAGGTTGTGTACGTTCGTATATAAGCTTGCCTTAAATGAAATTTATTCAAATTATTTTTTGTAAGGTAGTAAAAATTTAATCATTTTTTTGTAGTTTTTCTTGCTTGATGGATAAAAAAATAGTTTACTCTGGAACAGATGAAGTGTTTATATATAGGCTGTACATCGTGTTGAATCTGTTTGCTCATCAACATCCTTTATTTATATTTACTTGGAATCTATTCCTTCATTCATGAAAGTTTATCATAAATATTTCTCAATAACTCTACAATGGCCATAAGGTAATTGTCCATTTTAGATCAGATTATTAATAAATAAAATATTAAAGCTTATTAAGTCTGTATGACATACAATTCACATGTGAGTTGAGAAAAGCCACATGAAGCAGCATAACAACAAGCGGTGCAACAGGCACGCCTGTGGATGTAAAAATAGACATTCTGGATCATGAAATGTTCATTAAGGAGAAAAATATTTGGGGAGAGAACTCAAACTCAATAATTCTAGATGCAAAGTTTATATAGCAGGTGGGTGGACATTATGATGGTGCGATCAGATGGAGCAGAGCACATGCTCACGTGACACGAAATGTTCAGTCACGTGGTAGATACTACGCATGTTCTTCCTGTTTGTTTTGTGTGTGATTACATGCAAGCTCTCAGGAATCACGCACCGTCGTTTCTTTCGTTTGTGCGCAGTAACGAACGATGCAGCGATGCTTTAGAAGAAGATTGTTTGCTCAGTGCATGCAGTTCTTCTTCTTCAGCAAATATTTTCGAATCTTCTTAAAAACTGTTTACAACGAACCGAGTGTAATTATTTCGTGGTCGTGTGCAGCTAACAAAATAATTTTAAAATATTTGCGGTTCAACGTATCAAATAAAGTGTTTGATGTGACGTAAATACAAATTTTTAAAATCAAAATTAGCACTGTACTTTCTAAATTTGGTTCATCAACAGTGTGTGTGTGTGTGTGTGTGTGTGTGTGTGTGTGTGTGTGTGTGTGTGTGTGTGTGTGTGTGTGTGTGCATACGTGCGTAACTTTTTAACGTTAAGTTTTGTGTATTCGATTCGAGTTGTAACACTTATGAGAATAAATTGACACGACATGCCCCACATGTGTGTGAACTGTTTCTAACACCCAATCACTGCTTTAGTTTATATTGAGCTATTTGCTCCCTGCTCAACACTGTTTCAACTTTTACAAACACTCAGGCAACAAACGCATATGAATGCCGACAGGTTCAAATTCACACACCACAAACTCTGACGTATGATGGACTGGGTCCGTTCGCATCTCAGCTCGATCACAGCAAGCAAGACTGGACGAACTGGCACTACGCTCTTTGCTGCTTGTTCTTATAAACTTGTTTAAAAAAGGAGTTAAAAAAATGACCGTATCATTTGGATTGTTTGAATATAACTCAACGCAAGAGCATAACTTTTTGTTTTAATCCGTGAGAACATTTTTACTTTAAAGTCTTTTTGTCAATATTTTGTTGAAATATGTTCATAAATATTTTTTTAAAAAGTTTTGCTGGTGAGTATGAAAAAAAGTTTATAACACCTCTTAACGAATTTGTACTGATATTTGTGAATTTTATTCAGAATGATGAATTGAAGATTAATTTGCTACCAAACAGACCACGAACATCCCCACTCTTGCGTAACACCTCGTAACAAAATCTTCACTTGCTTTTGGGCCGTTTTTAAGGAATAAACGAACAACCCCTTTACCATTCATCATTCCTTCATTCATTTATCGGCCATTTGTCATTCATTCATTCATCTTTCATTTGTCGCATCTAGACTATTTAGTCGTAAGCTTCTACTGATGTTGAACGTTCTGCTTTTCATCTGTTCATCCTATAAATAAATGAATTAAAAAGATTTGGAATGGTCTTCCACTCAACTCGGGATGTCAAGTTTGGAATTTCCAAAATGAAATTAAAATGCCACTTGTTTGGACAGTTTCTTCGGCGATATAAAATGAATTGAAGTGCTGCAAACAAAATTAACCTGAATGCTGTTGGCACCATTTAGTGTAAAAAAAGGTGCTACACAAATAACCCAATAATAATAATAATATTAATAATAATAATAATAATAATATTATTATAAAAATATTATTAATAATACTAATAATAATGATAATAATAAACTTATATTTATACCAACACATTCGTTTGTTTACTAACCAAACGTTTTTTTGTTACGCAATTTTTTGATATTTAAGATATGCTTGGTTGATTCGAAACAAAGTGACATGGAAACAAAGTGACGACACTTAAAGACATGCTGTGTTCATTTATTAACTTGTAAATAATACCAAACAATGGCAGCACGTATAATAATTCTTTTTTTTCAGAAATTTTATTAGAAAAATATATTTGAGTTTGTAGTTACATCAGTAAATCAGAAACTTTCAAACGCCTCTTCCGTATGTTCTTATAATGCAGTGATAACGCGTGGGTACAAATGTGTATGTGCGTGTGTGCATGTGTGTGGGTACGCCGTGAATTGTGCATGCAGTGCGTACAAATTTTGTAGCACAACGCAGATTGAGTAATTTGTAATGATTTGCGGGAGGACAGGGTAAACATGGTTATCTTATTTAGAAAATTTTAAATTCTATGGTGAGCAAACACAGAAAAAACTTTACGACGTAACAAGTTTCAAAAAGTGAAAAGATAATTCAACAAAAATGGATTCAACTGAACTAAAGCAATAATTTAAAAAAAATTCAAAAGCTCCTTTCAGCACAGCTGAATTAGAAAAAATTAAAACACTCACTAAAAACGTTGAAATTTATAAAATCATTAAATAAATCGTTATCAATAATAAGTGACAAAATGAAAGTTTGATACGGAATGCCAGACCGGAGTGAGTATTCCTACAAACATTACAGAGCGCACGAGTGAATTTTCGGAACGAAATGAAATGAAAATTAACCATGGCACGCACACTTGCACGAACGTAAAATGTTCAAATCACGATGAATCGCAGACCACGAAGACAACAAAAATAATTAATTTTGAAATAAATCTTTCAAGCTCGACAATTTATCTTAAGAAAAATTCTTTCGTTCCTATGTACACAAACGCACTGCATACAGCATGACTCTTGCGATTGGGGAGGTCACTCGATGAAATCACAAATCATTAAAATGTCAAAACTGATTTTTGTTCCTACATTCTACAATCAAAATCAATGTGATTAACAGTAATAATTTTTTCCTAGCATTCAAATTTTAGCTATAAGTTTCATAATTTTTTGATAATTTGAAAACTAAAACTTTATTTACGATTATGTTTAAAATGAACAGCTTTATTACTAATTGTTTAAATACTGTGAATTGAATTTTTTTTAAAATTCAGTAATACACCAAATTAATATTTTTACAAACATTACAACGAGAGTTCTCTTGAGAGGAAGGGCCGAAGAATCAACTTTGACAAAGTTCGTCACCAGTTTTCGATACTGGGTACCAGCGTGACGACCTTGGCCGATGCATCGCTGCACTTCTTGACCTTCAAGCAGGACCTGGTCAGGACGTCGGGACTTCTCTGCAACCTCCCACCAGAACTCTGCCTCTTCAACTTCGCAGACTCATCCTTCTTTTGAAAGCAGTTACACAAGTGATCGTTGTCCCCACCGACGTTGAAGAACAAGAAGACGTAAGGGTTGATCGCTGAGTTGAGCACTGCGAACGCGCCGACGATGGAGTAGAAAGTTTTGGAGAGGTGTGTGTGGTCGCTGAAAGACATGTACGTCTCGATGATGTGGTAGGGTGATACACAGAGGAGGAAGCAGGAACTGATGACGATCGCCATCTTGATGGTTTTAATTTTGGCCCTCTCGAACGACGCGTACCCACTTTTGTTGCAAACAGAAATCTTCTGCACGTTCTTTGTGCTGCAGTTGCCGACAGTTGCTGACGCCGTTGGCCAGAACTTGAAAGTTTTATTTTTTGTGTCTTTCATCATTACGATGTTCACATTTTTAATGCTGCTGTTTTCATTACTGATGTTGTCGATGTTGTTGATGTTAATGTTGTTGATGGTGTTGATGCTGTTGCTGTTGATGTTGTTCGATGTTATGCTGCTCGTTATAGTCGTCGTTGCCGTCATCTCGTCGTTGTTATCAGTACTGTAAGATAGAGTTGCGAAATTTTTATTCCTGCCACTTCTACACCTGCTGTTGAGTTCTTTCATGTTGAGCGACAATTCGGCGCACTTGGAAGGTTTCAGGTTAAACTTCCTTGATTGTTTGACGATTTCGACATAGATGACGATGTAACTGACTAGTATAATAAAAAATGGAATGTAGAAAGTTAGAATGCCGATGATGGTAATGTACATCTGCCTGTAGATGATGGGCGTGTGTCTAAAAACTGACTCACAAACTGTTTTGTTGAAGAAGGGACTGGTGACATTGATGCGGGCCTCGTGAAAGACCAGACACTGGGGTGTGCTAACTAGGAAGCCCAACAACCAACCGATGTTTGTTAACTTTTTAGCCTGGAACAACGGTGGAAAACAAGATACAATTAATGCTTGCAATGATGTTTGTTATTTAACAAGCTGAACTTTATAAATAAACCGAGAGTTCAATAAGTAGAAGAATCACATTATAAAATTGTTGAAATCAGCATAGAATTTTTTGAATATACAACATTGTATATGTAATTAATAACAAATAACTTTATATCAACAAATACATCTCATACATCCTCCTACAAATGTTAGTAACATACAAACAAATAACTTTCAATATTACATATATTGCAAAGTCTTCCAATTGATGCATGTAAATAATAAATGCACATTTAAACATAGCAATCACATCCACACATTACCAGTGGCGGATCTAGAAGGGGGCGTGGAGGCATTGGGTTGTGAGCAATTTTTCAATGAAAGTAAGATAAAAGGACGGTTTTGTGCATAAAATCAACCAAAGGTTGAACATAATGAGCAAAAAAGGTCGTTAACTACACTACAACAAATCTTGGCCTCTCCCTTGAAAATCATGGCTCCCTATTGAAAAGCTTGACTTCCCTTGAAAATCTTGGCTCTTCTTGAAAATCTTTGCCTTTCCAGTGAAAATTTAAACAAATCATATTTTTGGCCCCTCCCTCCTTAAAAGTCGCCACCGTACATTATGCATGGATGTGATTGTTAGCACAAACATATTCAAAGAAGATCAAAAAAGTGGAAAGATTTCTTACAGAAATTTTCGGCTTCAGAGGATAGACGACAGCCTGAAGGCGATCCAAACTGAGGACGACAACCATGAAGTTGCTGGTGACCAGCGTGAATGCCTGCAACATTTTCAGCAACTTGCAACAAATGTTCCCCAACAGCCACTCCCTGTTCTTTATCTCCCAGACCAACTGGTGGACGATTGGGAGAAAAAAATTAAAACTTATTTTACGAATCGATTTTAAAAATCAACCTGCTTTCAATTAATTACATTGATTGCTAATGACGAACAATTTTTAGTTTTTAAAATTATTTTTATTTATTTTACAAATATTGACGTAAACCAACTTGCATGAAACAGGCGACAAACATGACCAGGAGGTCAGAGAGTGTGACGTTGTATATGACGTGGAAAACACGTGACTTTCTCGACCAATTGAATCGAAGCCAGATGCAAACCATGCATCCTCCCAGAACGCCGATGACCATGATGACGAGCAGCACTGCAATCCTCCACGTTCGATCGAAATCGGCGTCTGCTACATTCGGCTTCCAGGCTATTGTCGTTGTTTGTGGAGCTTCACTACTCATGTTCTTGTTGTTTTTGGGGTTGTTGGCGTTGTTGTTGTTGTTGGCGTTTGTTGTTTTGTTAAAGTTGTTAGTGTTTTTGCTGTTGTTGTTGTTGTTGTTAGTGTTGTTCTTGTTGTTGATGTCAAATAATGAAAGAAAGGAACAAAGCTAATTATGTAAATAAAGTTATCGCGATGTCAATAACTGTTATGATGATGGTGATAATAACAACAACGACGACGATGATGATGATGGTGATGATGTTGGTAATGATGACGAGAATACTGGAGATGATGATGATGGTGATGGTGATGATGATTACGTTAGTGGCGAAAAGAAAAAAACCGGATGATGTAGCTAGTGATGATTCAAAAATTTTCATGATAAAGTTAAATTTATGAAGAAGACGATGAAGATGATGATGAAGAAAATGATGAAAAAGATAAAGATAAATAAGATGATGAAGATGATGGAAATTATGATGATGAAGATGACGATGAAGATTCAAAGTATTTATTCAAAGAAAAACCAGAAGCCCAGAATGATGAAGATGATATAAAACTTGTTGTGTGGTGGTAGATCTCTTCAATAATGTGGCACATTATTCGATTGACTCAATGACTGTTTGTGGCTTTTTTTTTATATTATGATTGCTTTGTGTCATTCTTTTCATTGGCAGAGATTGTTTTTGTGTGTTTTTTGTTCAAAATTGTGTTTTGTTCTGTTCTGTTTTTATTGGCTTATAAAAAGTGTTGTTTTGTATCTTTTGTGTGTCGTGTTTTGTTACAGTTTGTTATTGTTAGCGAGGCTGACGAGTTTTTAATGAATAGTGATGTATCGTTGTGAATATTCATTCTTCATGATCTGGTTTTATTGGCTGGTGTTGTTGTTTGTTGATGTAACTGCTGTTGTTGTTATTGTTGTTGGTTGATGTTGTAGTTGTTGGCTGATGTTGTTGTTGTTGGTTGATGTTGTTGGTTGATGTTGTTGGTTGATGTTGTTGTTGTTGTTGTTGGCTGATATTGTTGCTGCTGTTGTTGTTAGTTGATGGCGTAGTTGTTGTTGGTTGGTTACTGTGGTTGTTGTTTGTGTAAATTTTTTGTTGGTACTGTTATGGCAGCTATTTTGCAATAGGTTTCTGCTGTTTAGTGAAGTCTGTGGTCATCTGTGTCGCTTGTCTGCAGCAAATTATTATTTTACAGTTTAAATAAATATTTTAACGTTGATGACGACCAAAACACTACATATTAAAAATGACAATGGTAGAAGATTGTTTCTTATTTTTTGAAAAAAATTTTTAACAAAATGATTTTGCTGGTTACCCAATGTGGTTATTCAATTGTTACCAAATTGAGACTCTTTTCATTGGTACCTGTTATACACCACTTCAAAAGTTTTATGATTACTTTTTCACAGCCCCACCGTTGATAGCTTTTTTGCTACTACCATTTAACCGACGTGGTTTTTTGGAGTTTTTTTTTTTCATGAAATTTTTCCGTAAAAAATAGTCACCAAGCAGTCGTGAGTTGATTTGTTGCAGCGAGCCCAACTGAGGCTGTTCTATAAATAGCTCTATGCCTATGTAGGCTTGCTGGAGAGCAAACATTTTTCATACATTGGTTGGTGGTTTAACGTTTAGCAATATTTTTCAAGCTAAAAATAAAAGCAGGTAAAAACAATTTCAAAAAGTTCTCAATTAATTTCAAATATTTATGAGAGTGCAGAGGCGAAAAACTTCGTCTGAAACAAACCAATGGTAGAACTTTTCAACGTTAGATATGTACGATAGGAATGAATTAAAATTAAGCTATGCATTACGCTGGTAATTTCAAAAAAAATTATTAAAAAATCAAACAAAATTTTGGAGTACAAATTTTTTTCTTCATTTTATTATAACCCGTCCCTACACACAGACAGGTAGTTAAATTTCGCCGTCCAGACGACAAGCCTCGTGCGGTTCAAATAAGTGTAACCATGAGAGGTTATTTAGTTTTTTACTTTTAACATTTGATTTCAATTTAAATAATGTAAATCTGTGAACAAGAATTGTCAAGAAAATTAGGTATATAAACCAACAGATTCGCAGCAAAAATTATTTTATTTCATAGAGAATGACTTTTAGAGAATTAAAAATGTTCACGTTGTTCACATTTTTCACAAACTTCAAAATGACATTTATGCTCTGAAAGCATGAAGTGCTTGCTTGCATCTGAATTAATCTGAATTATTATTTAAGTTTTGAAAATCGAATTGACACAAAAGCTATTTTTGATCGTGTTATTAAAAACAATTTTCAAAATAAAATACATTTCAAAATATCATCTTACATTAATTATATATTCCAGAAATAACTAACCCAAATAACTTTTTCAAAAAATTTTTCGAAATCAAACATCATTCACATTTCACTGTATCAAATTAATCAACTTTTATTTCATGCAAAAAGTTTCTAGATCATAAATGTATATTGTTACATTCATAGCATATTATTAATTTCTCAAAATAATATTCATTTTTATTCCAAATTTAAAGTTTAAAAAAACAGAAACCCTTGAGTATTTGATATTTCATTTGCACCAGGCAAGCCATTTCTCATTTCCTTATGAGATAGAGAAGGCATGGAGGACCCAAAAAAATCTTGAAATCATAATAAATACAAATGCAGACGGATGGCATGAGATGTGAGGTAAGGTGTTGTACTAATAAACACGAATAACAGTCTATACGTCTGCTTGTATGCGTGTCTATATATTTGTTGTGTATGTTTCTCTGTGTATGTTTGTATGTAGGCTTGTGTGTATGTTTATGTAGTTTTAGGTTCGCGTGTGATTGTGGAAATGATCGAATTACGCTATATTATTTATTATTTGATAATTGTTATCCTTGAAATCTTTGTAACTTTTTACAAGGTGGTTTACAGTCAGGTCTTCAGTCGTAAATGCGATTTATGCAGTTACTTCGATTAGTTTAATGTTTCCATTACTGTTTATATTCAAATAAGCATTCAACAAAGTTTGCGTTTGAAGCAGTTGTGTTCATCTATTAGAAATCTTGAACTTACGGAATAACGAACATTTGACGATCGCTGGAAGCTACAACACTGGTGTTAAAAAGATAGAAATCTTTGAAGTTATAACATTGGTGTTGGTATTTACAAGATCAAGGGGTTTACAACAATATGTTTGTATATGCGTATGCATATCTATATGCGTGTTTGATTTTATGTGTGTGTGTGTGTGTGTGTGTGTGTGTGTGTGTGTGTGTGTGTGTGTGTGTGTGGTTGTGTGTGCGGTTGTTTTATTCTAGATGAATTTAATTTCGAATAGAAAAAAATTGTTTGTGTGTATGTGAATTTAGGTTACTTTGTAAAATTTTAAAACATGAATGAACAAAACGCAAGAATGAAACGTATAGGTATATTTTGCTATTTTTCAACGTTCTTTTTCAAATTTTCTCATGACTTCAAACCAATCAGATGATACGTCGGAAGCAGTTCCCATGCAATTGATGGGCTCTTAATCGCTGGATGGATCTCTCAACACTATCAAGATTGAGTTTTTTATGAGTTTTTGCAGAATTAGATTTTAAAATTTTCACACCCACCAAGTGTTATGTTACGTCTTTCAGTAGGTTAAAAGTAATTTTTCGATAAATTTCGTGAACTGATTAATTTTTGCAGAGATTTATAAATGAAAACTGTCAGGCAGAAATTAATGTTTTCAAGACTTTCAATACTTGAGATAAAACTTTAAGAAGCAAATATTAATCTTCTAGATTCAGAGACAAATGAAATATATTTGGTGTTTTACTTGTATAAACAAATCTCAGATTTAAAAAGATTGTAAACTCTGTCTTGTCTATGCTTTTATTTATAACCAAGGTTGTTAACAATGTTCAAAAATTGTGTTGTCAATACAAATACTGGCGTGAAATGTGTTGCCGATAACAATACCGATCTTTAATTGTAAAGTATCGTCGGCAAAACGATTACTTATTCATGTGTAGTTTCCAAAACTTTGCACGCAAAAACGGGACTGTTATTTCATCCACAGAAAAACATTCGGTAGTTATGGGTTGATGCTATATAAAAATGAAATAATTGGGTAACGATAAATTGTTTTTGATTATCAAATTTGGAGTTGGAAAAAATATTTGTTTCTAGGACCAGATTTTGAAGTCCAAAAAAGAGACCCAGAGACAACAATATAAAACAAAAGCTCTAAATATATTTAAATTAAAAAAATTTTTACAATTTTTTACAAAATAATTGCCACCAAGTAACAAAACAAAAAACGCTTGTGAAATATTTTCTGTAAAATCGAATTGAAAAATATTCTGAAAAAAAATTTAAATTTTAAATTTATAAAAACAAAATTATTAATAATATCTTAACTGATGATCAAATTTGGAACTTTAGACTGAAATATCCGTAGCGTATTTTTTCCACCTTAGGCTGACTGGGGAAAAAAACAACGTTAAAGTTCCATGTTCATTATATTTTTTGGAGGGTTTCATCAACATTGAGTGCCAATAAGATGTTGTTTATAAGTTGTTCTTAGCTTCAAGTTCTGCAGACTATTTGTTTTAATAAAACTCCATGTAGACAAATATTGAAATAACTTTATTTAATATAAATAAACTAAATAACTTTAACTTCAAATATTTAGAAGAAATGATGTGTAAAATTAGTATCTTATATTTATTTTCATTTGTTTGGTTTGTGTGTATTTGTGTGTGTTTGCGTGTGTGTGTGTGTATGTATGTGTTTGTGTGTACGGATGTGTGTGTGTATGTATGTGTGTGTGTGTGTGTGTGTGTGTATTTGAGTATCAAATGTTCGGGTTTTTGTAAATTTATGGCTGTATCTTTGCCATTAACTAACAGCCAGAAAATAATAGTGATGTATTTGTCGATGTTTTGTTGATGTTGTTGTGGTGTTGTTGTTGTTGTTGTTAATGTTGCTATTGTAGGTAATGTGGTTGTTGATGTTGTTATTATTGTTTTGTTGTTATAAAGCTATT